TCCCGGGAATCCTGTGTGTAAAAAACAATACGGGGGGGGGTCGAATATTCCCAGCACGCCATCAAGGGAAGAGGCAGAGTAGTATTCATATTCAGTACTTGTGGAGGAGGAGGAGGAGGAGAAGGAGGAGGAGGAGGAGGAGGAGGAGGAGGACCCCCTCCCCTCCAACGTATGGTGGTGGCGGTGGGAAACAAGCCCATCCCTTCTTCCTCGTGCTGGGGATACTGCTCGGGTCCCTGCTCGGGCTGGCCTCGGAGGCCCTGCTCCAGAGCGCTCTCGGCCCGCCGCCCGGCGCCGGCCGCGCGGGACCCCCGTGACGAGCGGCCAAAGATTGCTGCCCGCGCGGCCTTTCGGGCGGCGGCGGCGGCGGCGGCGCCAACGGCGGCGGCCGCGGCGGGGATCGCCGGAAGGTTTCGGGTCTCGGGGCGCTGTCCAGCCGCCGCGTCTCGCCCCGAGAGCGTTCCGGAGGTGCCCAGGGATCTTCCCGAGCGGCCGCCGGGGAGGCGAGCTGGGACCTGGAAGCCAGTCGTTTTTGTTTGTTTTTGTTCCCGCCCCTCCCCCATCCCCCCATCCCCCCATCGCTCTTCCATTCATCCTCAACTCTCCTCCGTCCTCCTCCGTCCCTTCTGGCGGTAGGCTAACTTAGTTCCAATGGAAGCCATCTTGGGCCATCATGGTGGGGTGAGTGGCGGTTTGTGTGTATCTTTATGAAGCTTTGAGGGTGTGTCCCCCTGGCCTTCGGGTGAGGCCGAAGACCAACGAAACACCCCTTCATAAATCTGTTGGTCGGCAGATTTAGTTGTTTCCGACCCATCTTGCCACCGTAGCCAGTCTGGCTCACGTTGCACATCATGGTAGAACAGACCGATCGGGGTGTTCAATTTGGGGGTTCTGTACGCTACGACGTCATGACGGTCATGGACCAGATGGAAACCGCAATGGGAGAGAAAAAAAGTACGTATGGCTTAGATCCTGATCAGAGATCGCCCGACTGCTTCCCGGACTGCTTCAGTAGGGCCGCGTGTTTTTTGGCAAAGTTGCCACCTCAAGTACTGGGCGTTTCCTTGGGCGTTGGGGGGCTCGGCATTCTCTGGCGAGACATCACTACAATTTACGAGTATGATGACACATGGAATTCTCCGACGAACTGGTTTGGATTCGCTTCTCATGCTTTTGCGTATCTCTGCCACTCAATCGTTGCAATTTCTCTCGTCGCATATGCAACCAAGGCTGCCGTTCACTGGAATATATTTCTTGCAGAGTTGTGGTCATCTCCAAAATGTGCTACTTTGGCTACGGGCCCCATGGCTTTAGCCACCGTGTGTACGAGCACTATGCGCGTGTTTCCACTTATCGCTTGCATATTGTGGTTTGTTGCCCTTACCTTGCATTTGGTGTGCGGTGTGTTCTACATCCGGAGTGTCTTGGAGAAGTGTCGTGGGGAAGCACAGCTGGAGCCAAAGGAGTCAGGTCAAGTTATGCGCACTATTAGCGATTGGACAAGCTCCCGGCAGTCCAATGGGAGTCGTCCAGAGGAAGCAATGCCAGAGTCACAGAATTCAGGACAAATTATACGCACTACTAGCGACTGGACAAGTTCCCGCCAGTCGAATACTAGTCTTCCAGGAAAACTGCCAACTACCCAAGACGGGTCTGCGTGGACCCCCGCAGCTTTCCCACCCACAGTCGGCATAGCTGCCCTAGCATCCTGCTCGACAGGGATCGAGACTCGAGAGATTGCGGCGTTTTCATTTGTAGTGGGAGTATGTTGGGCAATGCCTGTGTTGGTTATGGTGCTGGTTCATGCTGTGGGAGCGAAGGGCCTGGAGGTTAGCCAGGCTCGGACCGCCATCATCTGCGCGCCGTTCGCGCTGTGCACAGCGGCCCTCTGGTGCGTCCGCAATGCCTACGCAAAGGAGGAGGCGGAGAGCGAAGTTGTCTCTGCATTTGTCCACTCGCTGTTCCAGTTCCTGTACGTCATGTCGATCGTCCTGTACCTCGTCTTCCTGGCCTACGCGCCCCTCCTGTGGAGCCACCGTGCCGTGCGCGCGCCAGGCTCCGCCGCATTTACGTTCCCGACGGTGATTTTTGCCACGGCCATGGTGCGGTCCCACGAGTTTGACCCGCTGCTGGGGAAGGCAGGCACGCAGATCTTGGCATACGCTGCCAGTGCCATTGCAACGGTTGTGGTCCTCTGCGTGGTCTTCCAGTTTGCCGTCCTGCTTCGAGGCCTGTGGAGGGATGCGGCGTCCGGCGGTGGCATTGCAGGGCCCCCGGGTTCAAACGACACCAGCACTCCAACGGAGCAGGCGGCAGTCATTGGCACTACTATCATCGTGGCAGAAGTAAGGCAGGAAGTCGTTGGCAATGCGGCGTAAGGCGCGACTAGCTACTTCGAACGTTTTCGACGCAAGGTGAACCACCAAATCCGTGAGTCAGGCTAGCACTGACGCCTCCAACACGGCTGGGACGGAGTCACTTTTTGAGGCATCCTCATTTGCTGCATGCTAGTGCACGTCACAAGTCGACGTTTTTTTAGCTTCAGTGAATGATGCCGTTTCTGCCTGGTTAGCATGTTGCCCCCCATGGTGCAACAACCGGCATTGCACACCGATACACATGAGTCAGGCCATGCTCCTCCGTCGCTGCTTTGACGGATGTTCCAGCATAGGCGTTGTTATCCAGAACCGGGTGGTTGTGCGCTCGTCTTGTAGCGGTAGACGGTGCAATTGTTCCTCGTGTTGACCCAGCGAGCCGCGATGCAATCTTGAACTGTTCAGTTCCCCGAGTAGGGTTGCAGAGGGCGTTTTTGTGTGGTTGCTTGCCCGTGCATGATGGCTGTGTCTTCGTATGCCTCGCCATACTTGCAATCGCGCTCGCAAAACTCAAGCGAACAACACACATCACATGTTGCCATATCCAGATATCCAGGTGCCTGTGGCAGGTTCCCCCTCTTCGCCAGCGCATCACTCCTGTGCGGGACCCTTCCAGGACCGCCCCGACGGCCGTCACATGTCGCAGGTCTCGCCTTGGGTTCCAGAGGACAGCCGCGTGACGCGATCGTCTGCAGGCTCGAGAAGGCCGTACGTATCACGTGATAGCTATCTTCTTTCGGGCACACAGAACCACAGCAGTTGACATTTCTATTCCCCCATATCCCAGAGCGCCCATCTCAATTGGGGTGGCGGATCTACGTCGGGATCTCTGTTCGTTCAGTCCCACTTTAGCTGATCCCGTTCAATGTTGCGGGGTTCACAAGGTCTACTCCAGTTCAATGGCCTTACATCGGACTGAACAGCCCTCAATCGTTCTGACGAAGACATCCGAGGAGTTGGGCTGGTCTTGGGCCGTCTTGGAGCCATCTTTTGATTTTTGGGTTGCCTTTTGGGCTGGCACTGTCCTCGCGGGGCCTGTAAAGCGTCTGTGTTTCAAGTTGCTAGTCTACTTGCATGGATTTTCGCCCCCCCCCCGCCCCCCCCCACCACCCACGCACCCCTGCCCCCTTTTCGCCGCCTTTCCAAACATGTCTGGGCCGAAAGAGGCTTACCAGAAGTTCCCGACTGGCGTGAAGTCCAGATTATTCTTGGGACCTCACCACGCTCCTCCCCATCCATGCAAGCAACATATTTGTTGGAATATGAAGAAGTATGTTTCCTACAGTCAGGTGAATCATGTTGGTAGTGACATTTTAGAGCGCATGTGCACGTATCTGGGGGCGTTTTGAGACGTGCGTCATGTTTTGATCGTCGGTCTCACCCTCACTATCCTCTTGGCCTTCCTCATCCTCGTCCTCCCACTCGTCATCCCACTCATCAGCATCATCATCCTACTCATCGTCATCATCAGCATCATCATCATCAGCAGCATCAGCATCTTCATCATCATCTCGTATCATCATCATCTTCATATTCATCTTCATCTCAATCAGCATCATCATCAGCAGCATCAGCATCAGCATCAGCATCTCGTATCAAGAGCCTCATCATCATCTTCATCATACTCATAAGTTTCGTCATCATCATCATCATCATCATCATCATCATCGTGCTCTGCATCGTCCTCATTCTCCTCATCCTCATCCTCATGCTCATCGTTCACATCCTCCATCGTCCTCGTCCTCCACAGCCTCATCCTCACCACTCACCGTCCTCATGCCAAAAGGGGGCCACAAATGAGCTAAGAGGAAATCGCATGGGAGCCAGAAGGGATCCATGAGGGAACCAAGAGGGATCCGACGAACATGAGGGAGCCATGAGGAAGCCGTGAGGGAGCCACGAGAGAGCCACGAGAGAGCCGTGAGGGAACCATGAGGGAGCCACGAGAGAGCCATGAGGGAGCCCTGAGGGAGCCATGAGGGAGCCTTGACGGAGCCTTGACGGAGACATGAGGGAGCCTTGACGGAGACAGAGGGAGCCATGAGGGAGCCATGAGAGAGCCATGAGTGATCCGTGAGGTAGCCGTGAGGGAGCCTTTAGGGAGCCACGAGGGAGCCATGAGGGAGCCACGGCAACGACGACGACGATGGCCGACGACTGACCGAACGACCGATCGACCGACCGACCGAGACGACGACGACCGACGACGACAGACCGACCGACGGACCGACCGACCGACCGACCGAGACGACGACGGCCGACGACCGACCGACCGACCGACCGACCGACCGACCCCCGACCGACGACCGGAGCGACCGACCGACCAACCGAGACGACGACGACCGACGACGACGACCGACCGGCCACCGACGACCGGACCGAACGAACGTCTGTCCGTCCGACCGACCGACGACGACCGTCCGTCCGACCGACCGAGACGACGACCGACGACGACCGACTGACCGACCGACCGACGAAGACTACGACGACCGACGGCGACCGACCCACCGACCATCCGACCGACGCCGACGACCTGACCGACCGACCGACCGACCGACCGCACGCGCACGAGCGCGCACTGACTGCCTCCATGCGGGGGCGAGGCGTGACTACAGTGCTAGGGCCCCCGCCCTCGGGCCTGTCCCCCCCCCCTCTACCTTGACACGTCGATTAAGGAATTGGCCGTTTTCGGTTCGCGAGAGGGCGTCGAGCCCGTCATTTTTGCGGGTCCAGGCCCGTCGGTTTCGGTCCCGGGCCGTTTCATTAAGGGAAGGTTTACTAAAGGGAGGTTTGTCCACAGCCGAAAATGGGGTATGACTCCAGCGCGCAATCATCATAAGGGAAAGTGGCTCCAGCAACCCACGCTTGCAAGACACATCGTCTCCAGCATCAAATTCTTACGACGGGCGGCGGCTCCAGCAGCCCACGGCGTCGGCTCCAGCACCTAATGTTTACGAGGGGCAGTAGTTCCAGCAGCTCCTGCCTACAAGATAGATGGGTTCCAGCACTTCGTTTTCTACGAATAGAGGCGGTTCCAGCTTCTTCTTTTTTGTTGAAAAAGAAACAAACAAAGAGAAACAACGGTTCCAGCAGCTCACGCCTACAAGACAGGTGGGTTCCCATGGTCGATGCCAAGGGCGAGCTCCTCCGTTCGTGTGCGCGCGCGGCCCCAGCGGGGATGTCGCTGCCGTCGTTTCAGACAACGGGTGAAGCGACCCACGGCCCAAACACCAGTAACCCATGCCCTTTGTTGGAAATAAACCACCCAACTGGAGAAACCTCTCGGGACGAGACTAGGGAACAGGCAGAGACCAATCAGACACCTGTGAAGCCCTCACAGTTTTTCGGTGCTTGAAGTCTTCAGGGGCGTCTTCTTGTGTAGGTGTCTAGGTTTGTTGGGATTGTTCGCGGTAGTGTTTAGCCGTCTTGGTGGCCTTCTTCTACCAGCCTGCAACGTTTCCCTGCTCCACGAATTCAATCTTTATCGTTGTGCCCATGTTACAGAATTCTTGCGCTTGTGAGGACGCATCCCCAATATTACCGTCGAAAGTCTTCCGCAGCATCCGCGGTGGCCCCGGAGATCGCTGAGGAGGCGTCGAGACGTTGGTTGAGCCTCCGCAGTGGTGGTGGTGCACACGGCTGGAAGATGGTGTTTGGGGAAGGGGGCTTCCTATTTGTAAACATGGCTTGACAAATTCGTAGTGTTTCGCTCCACTATGCATACCAGGGGGCACTGTGATATATATATATATATATATATATACATACATACATACATACATATAAATACACATATATATATATGTATATATATATATTTATCCACATGGAATTTGGACCGACGGGGTCAGGCACAACACAATATCACATTGTGATTGATTAACGAGCTCGACAGTCCCCGCCCCGGCGAGTTGAGGTTGCCAGTTTCGAAGATGTTAACCAGCCCAGGCCTTAAACCATGTGTTTCTGACAATCGATGTTGCGCAATCTACGTGGTGCAATTTACGTTGTGCAATTTACATTGTGCGATCTGGGTGATGCAACCTACGCGGCGCAACTGATTTTTGCAACGAGTTGACCAAATCCATGCTCTGGCAAACATCCCACCCACCCACCCGCAACATTGTTTGCAAAATCCATGCGGTGGCGATTGCGATGAATGCTTGGCGTTGGCTGGTGCATCTCTGCGGCCGCGCTGGCCCGCGCTTGCTTGCGCGCGCAGCGGACAGCTAGTTTGGCGCGACCGACGCGGCCGCGGTGGCGTTGACCTTTAGGCAGTTCCAAGCGGGCACTCCAGTGCGAGTCGGTGATTTGGGCGGGCGCGGAATCATGGCAACGCCGACAGCGGTAGAGACGATTCTTTATGAGAGCGGCGAAGGTGACGATGGTGGCGATGACGACGGCAAAGGCAAGGACGGCGCCGATGCTGATCACGCCCGCCGGCAACGCTGACGGCGCCCCGTCGTCGGCGATGAAGGTTTTGGGAGGAGCTCGACATGCGCGCACGGCCGGCGCGCGAAAGTGGCCGGAATGGTGTTATTTGACTCGGGTCGCGCCTCCCCCCCCAGAGCGCGCTCAAGGGCGTTCGAATGATTTCGGCATGCGGCGCGGGAGGCCCGCTTGGCAGAAACAACTATGATTATGCTAAACAGTTGCTGGTTTTTCCAAGAAAACGCAAGAGCGCGAGCGCAAGTTTGTTTGAACACTGTTGTTGCGAAGCCATATGTCTGTATACGATTTCGCGACGCTCGTCTTTCACATGTTTTCGAAACCTAAGGTTTTTGTATTGATTGATGTCGGCACGTGGGCGCGATTACGCGCGCGCGCGCACTTCGTCCCATTTTTTGTCCTACAACGATTCTCGCGACAGCACGCGCGCAGGGGCGGTCGGGCGATTTCGACGTGCGCGCGCGAACCCGCTCGGCAGCATTTTATCACAACGTTGGAGAACCTATTTGTTTTCTCAAGAAGTGTCCACAGCGCGTGCACAAGTTGTTTTTGAACATCCGCGTTGCGAAACCCTGTGTTTCAACATGTGTTTTCGACATTGGATGTTGGCATTATTACGAAGTCTTCACTCCTTGAATAATTTCGGCATGCGCGCGCCGACGAGCTCGCATGTATACCGTGGTGTTTTTTTCTTGTGCGCAGGATTATTGCAAACTTATTGTTTTTGATAAACGAGTGCTCGCGCATAATATGCGTTGCAGGAAAAGGTGGTTGGGGGACCTGACGCAGCAGCGATCGTCTCAGAAACGATGCTGCGCCACGGCAGGCAGCGCGACAGCAGAGCTCGACAGCATGGCACGAGCATTCAACGATCTGCGCGGGCACGACAGACATCACTACGTTCCATTGGCCGGAGAAACCAGACGTTGCCACGAGCGAGTTCGCCAGCAACGTGCAGCAATGATAAGCCTGACGCCCTGGCATCTTGACAATACGCCTGCAAATCACATGCACGCGTAAAACTACAACACGTATGGGTATCATGCATACGGATTCGCGAGAATACAGCGCACAGCAGACACGGCCGGCGCCGCGACTTC